ATAATGTAAGAACACATTTAGCAACATTTTACACCACGCAGTAAATAAGAAAGTGTTTCTTCGAAAATATGTCATCATAGGAACATTATTTCTACATTAATAATGTAGCTGGAAAATGCCAAGGCTGTTTCTCTCAAGGCAACAGGGCTCCCTCCCTCTTTTTGGATATTTGCTTTTTAATACAAATGAAAGGACTTGCCATTTTAACAAATCACCAATAATTCTAAGAGTCATCTCTTAGGAGGTTTTGAACTGAGGTTGGCAAGATATGAAATGGGGTTTCAAATTAAAAAAAAAAAAAATTAAGACAATTCTGGGATAGCCCAGAAAGTAGAAGTCACTTCTATTAACTTTTAAGTAGATATATACATTCACTCCAATTTTGATGCAGAAATGAACAGATTGTCTAAAGCCTGCCTATTATTCCCCCAGAGCCTGATTGTTATCTATGTTCCTTGGTTTTGGTCATATTGCAAAATTAGGGCTCTGGTCAGAAATAACACCTTACGTACCCAAATGCTTTCCTGTGAAGCTTAAAATTGCACTTTGCATCCTGAATTCCCACCTTAGACCTCGCATGCTGATGAGAGGATGTGAACATTGTTTCCAGTTTACAGCTAATGATTAGTACAGCTGGATTAGCCCCTTGCTAATTTAACTATACCTGAATCAAATCATCACATCATTTAGATTAATTCCAGTAGGCTTAACCAAGAGGTTCCCCATACAGAAATGAAGGGTTAACAGTGAATCTTTACACTAGGCTGCCTAAGGGCTTGGCTGCTAACCAGTTAGCTGATAGGTAGAGAGAACAGTGTCAGTTCCAAACAGTTACACTCCCAACTCCTCTAGTTTCCGCTGAATTATGCAGTGGGTGGGAATGGATGGCCACTCAAAGGAAACCTCCTGTGGGGGTCTTCCACCATAAGGAGAATCAAAACCCCTACCAATATATTTCAGGGTACCCTCTAAGTCTCTCTACAAACACACATCAAAACCTAGTGGCTCTACAAGTTAATCACAGGCTCAAAAATAGCCGGAGCCACAGAACAGCCCTCCTGGCTGAATATGGCTGCTTAACTCAGCTGGTACATACAGCTTTTCAATACTCAGCCAGCCTTGCTGGATAAAGCATCTTCTTATATAACACAGTGAAACTGTGCTAAACAGTTTAAAAGTTGAGAAGAATCCAAATATATCACCTCTAAAAAATTCATGATTTTAGTTTGCTTTTTCTTAGACTTTGGTACCGAAACACTGTCTACATTCTCGACACATGAATATGACATGGTCACTTCAGTGCCTCTGCATGTTGTGTAAAGAAACTCAAAAGCAAAGCAGGAGAAGGACGTGTCGTAACAAGACACAGTATGCTCTACAGACAAAACCTAAATTATATATAAATACACACCCCACCCCAGCACCCCCTCTTCTCCCCACCAGCTGACCAAAGCAATGCCAAGGGTCCTTCTCTCCAGGGCCAGTAGAGTTTGTGAAATCCAGCACCCAGGACTCCAACCATCCCTTGCTGTGTGGTGACATCTTATCACTGCAGGCTTCTCCTAGAGACTCCCTGCTGTCTAACCAGTTCCACAAGTACAGGGAAACACCTAAAGCTTAATTGGGAGCATTCACACTATTGGCTGGACTCAAAGACCTAGAGTCCTGGGAGTTAATTTTTCAGATAAACTAACTGGATCATTTCCTAATTTGGATCCTGTCTTATCCTAATATCTCAGCAGAGCCAACACAGTAGGAAGCACCCTCTACTCCGAAGCTCCAAAGGCATTGCTTAGGGATATCAGTGAGGGTCACATAATAAAAGTGATACAATGAGCTAACAGCTTAAGTTGATATAAATTATTTCCGGGTAAGTTATTTGGGGCCATTTGCTTCTGCTTTCCATTGCATTCCAGAATCATTTTCATACTGTACTTTCAAAAGTTTATATAATAGTCATTTAAAAATTGTCTATGCAATCACTTCTTACGTGTTTTCAATTAGCTTAATAACAACTTAATGAGCTATTATGTAGGTCTAGGGAAAAGTAGTTAGTCTTAAGGAAGCCAATACTGTGCTACTTCACAGTAAGGAGAAAAAGCAATGTAAATAATCATCAATAACTTGAAAAGCAGTCTTACGAAACGTTGCAAAGCTTTCCCTAAAGCACTTACAGCAATTTATATCAAGATATCCTAAGTTTAGGGGTACGGAGGATAAGACTCAACTCTTTAAGGTAGAAATTCACCTTTATCATGATAGAATAGGTAATTTTCCCCCCAGACCTAAGATAATTGTACATTCAAAAGTTCATAACTTGCTGTTCTTGAGACATTAATCATTCTCTCATACACTGAGTAGAAATAAATAACTACAAGAAAGCTTTAAAAATCTGAATTAACATTATGCTGTGCAACAAAACAAAACAAAACAAACCTTGAACAACCTACATTCTATGTTAAATACCCTGACTAAAATGTCGGTTGTGCTACACAATTCCACTTCAGTGCAGAAATGAGTTGACTTCTGTGTACCGTCTTTGTTGTTGTTGTTTTAAGTCTTTAGCACTTTTGTTCTAAACATCAGCTTGAAACGATGAATAACTTACTACCAAATCACAAATCCAGTTCAGTTTAGTCTGAATAAAATCCAGCGTAAGTGTATTACTTTGTTCTGGAAATAATGGCTCGGTGTCTTTGTTCCGACAGCTTCCTAAGGGCAAACCACCGTTGAAGTCATTTTGGGTTTAAACCACACAGAAAGAAGAGACGGTGAAGTTTCCCTTTTCGTTTTTGTTTTCTTTTTAAGTCTTCAGATCTTGCTAGGACACTTCTTCCAGACCAACAGTCATACAGTTGTGGCACCTGATGCTATCTGAAACAGACGTGGTTTAAACAACGTCAGCCAAGCTTCGTGATCTGGAGGTCCCCGTTTATCTTTATGGTGTCGATTGCAGATAACGTTTGAATGCGGTGGTAAAAATCAAAAAGTTGGTGTCCATCCACAAACACTCTGAAACGTGGGTGCTCACAAAGGATTTCCACCTGGAAGAAACAAAATAATAACCTCAGTTCATAATTTCAATGAACCCTGCTGGGGAAAATGAACAAACAGTACTGCATTTTGGAGAAAGGCAACATCCTCAGTGGTTCTCAAACACGGGAGTGCACTGGGATCATACAGAAGGCGTGTTAGAACACAGACTGCTGGACTCCACCCACCAAAATTTCCATTTAGTAGGGCTAGGGTAAGGTCTAAGAATGTGCTTTTCCATCAAGTTCCAAGATGATGCTGGTGTTGCTAGAATAAGGAACACACTTTATGAAGCATTGCTCTACACTATTCAATGTCCTTTAAAGATTTAAAATTGCTTTACTCTTTCTCCCTTCTCCTTGCATGCCAGAAAGTGATGGAAAGTGGCAGAGATTTATTTATACGGCACTTAATGTCTCCATCCTCATCCCCTGAACAATTCTATCCCACCTTCAGAGAAGCCCCTCGCAAAGCAGAACTGGTACCCATTAGTAGCATGTAATAATAGTCTAGACACCCCTAAACACTAAGCAGAGAGAAGGTTACACAGTAATTACCATTCGACCAAGGATGTGTAATTAATAAGGCTTTGCTAAGCCAAACAGAAATACTGATTCCACATGGTAAAAGCTTTTTCTTCCTCCTTTTTTGAAACTTAAGTAATTCACCATAGAGTTTAATCATTAGTTCTGTGCTATGTATTTATTAAAAGCATTTGTATTCATCATGCAAGGAGAGACTCCGTATATGATATTAGTCACATTTAATTCATATTATTACTAAAATTATTATCACCAAGAAGGGGTGATTTCATTTCACCCCTTCACCCCTAGTGTTGGGGAGCACTATTCCTCCTGGCAGAAGCTTTGGTTACTCACACTCACGAGCTCTGCATTAAGATTCACCAGTAAGAAACTGACACAGTTCAGGGGAGCCTCAGGGTCATTACCATTCTAGAGAAGGGTAGGGGTGTCTTCCCCAGGCTACAATTAGAAGGGCAATTAGTCTCTATTCTATCATTGATGTGACAATCACGGATTCTTGCTTTCCCCCCAGACTGTAAGATGGGAAGAAAAAGTATGACTTATTCACAGGCCCCTGTAAATTTTTAGATGAGGAGCAACAGGTTAAGGGTAGTTCTGCTTTGTTAGGTGTTTATGCAACAGGGAGCTTTTAACTGGGTTGTCATTATTGTGATGTATGTTAACAAGGTGTAATGTAGACACTTCATCACCAGGTCTGACACATCAGTAAATTCTTTCCTAACACATTACTGACTTGCATCTCTTACTTGGTATTGTCCTTCATAGAGGAAGGTGCTGCTAATGCTGCTTGATTGAAATGGAAGTTTGGGCTATGCTTCCTGCCTGACAGATAGTGGGGAGCAAATCTATACTCATCCAGGCCCAAGGGAAGTAATCTGTCAGCCACAGAGACTGTGACAGTGAAACAGACTGAGGCTACTTAACCCAGAGAGGGAAACAAGGACATGACTAAGTCCTCACTAGCAAAGGGAACAAGAGAAAATAAAATGATAATCAACTAGATTCTTAAAAAAAGACATAACTGATATGGTTTGGTGCTACTTAAAGGTTGAGAAAAAAATGAGGAAAATTCTAGATACTTATTATTTATTAATCAAATATATTTTGGGACAGGTGTCTATTATATGCCTAGTACTATGTTAAATACTACATAGAAAAGTATTTATTTTTAACAATATAGACATGTAAATATGGGTTTATTTACACGTATTGGCTAAATAGAATTGCAAAAATTCTGGCTTAAAGTGTTCTCGGCACATACTAGATGAGAACATCACCATCCTGCCAGTGGTTGGAGCGGAAGCACTCGAGGCACTCACCCTGAATGGTTGGTCTGGGATGAATGGGAAGTAAGGGATCGCTGACTGTTCTTCACCCCTTTCCCCAGATATACAAGAATTTCTGAGTAGCTGCCGATCTGTGAAGACAGCTTTGAGTTCAATTGCCACATCAGCGGGAGGATCCTCCGAATCACCACAGGTCAAGCTGATGGCAAAGCTGAAAAGAAAATCATCTCACTTATTCACGGTGAGCAAAACAACATTAACAATGACCCAGGCTCCCATTTCCACAATGACCCAGGCTTCCATTTCCTTCTTCTTCTTTGGATTTGTCAGCTTTTAATGGGCCACTACTCTTCATATGGGGGCAGGCGTTGGGGGGTTTAGACTATGGAGAAATAGGATTACAATCAAACTGGTTTGTTACCCAGAGGAGGCCCTGGTGAAAACTTCAGTGGAGATGAAAATAACTAACTGTAGACATTTCATATACCCCAAACTACCCACACATCTGTGTCTTAATCCATTTCAGAAGACTCAAAAACAGCCCCATTAATTGACCAGGGGAAACGATATCTCGTAAAGTTTGGTTCTCATTTATATTGATAGTTCTTACTCCAAACACCATGTTTGGAAAAAAAAAAAAAATCCTTTCGCCTCCCTAAGGGTCAAAGAGAAAATGATGTGGGTCTATATTTATAATCTCTGATATAAATAGCTGTCTAGAGAAATGATGGCTGGGATTCATACACATTCTTTTCATGGGAACATAGTACTTTCTTGGCACTTCTAACTAGCAACACTGGCCACAGGGGTGGGAAGAGGAGGGGCAGTAAACCACCACAGGAGTGGGCAGGACCTTGTAACTGCCTGATAGGTCTAGGTGACAAGGACTCTGCCTTACCTCTCAGGGTTGAGGTCTACGATGCCCATCACTAATACCTTCTTGCCTGGTCTCATGCCACCTTTAATGTGCCCACAAAATGGCACAATCTGCAAAGGATGAGAGGAGAAACAGAAAGTTTACAGCCTGTTAGGGAAGAGCCAAGGCCTCAGATCTAAGGAAAGAAGAAAGAAGAGGGTACAGGCAGACACAGAGCACAGAACAAAATCATTTACCAGTCGTGGGAAGTACACGTCGGCTTGAACTGGAGAGCCCAAGGAGTTGTTTAAATGCCCATCATCTAGTTTCTAAAAATAGAAGCACACAGATTGGCTTTCCAAAAGCTTTTGGAGGGGGGTGTTAGAGGGAGCGGGGAAGAACCTACACAAATCTGGAGGAATCCAGCAGTCCTCCATAGAACACAGGAAGCCTCTGCAAAAGCTCCCACCTCACAGCCCACTGAATAACCGCATAAACTCCCGGAACAAAACCCGTCCTTTCCACCAGGTAGCTAAGCCTCTGATGATCCTGAGACCCTTCAGATCTAGATCAAAATGAAGGTCGAGGCCCACTGGGGTGCCAGAGCCCCGCGCCGAGGGAGGGAAGGCCCCTCTCCAACCGCAAACGCCCATGGAACCGCCGTCGCCCAGGCCTGTCCTCGGGGACATGGCTGGAGTGCAGCGGCCGCGCTCAACTTCTCTCGCGAGCCCCTGGCGCGGACCCATTTCCAAGGGGGAAATCCCCGGAACGGCGCGGGGCGGGCGCGGGGCGCGCGCGCCGGACACACACACAGGCGCACACTCACACGTGCAACATGCACACACCTGGCCGGAGGCTGCACAGCGCGGAGGGGACTGTCGGTCACCCCCCACCCCGCGGGCCGCCCCCAACACCTCCCCTCAGCCAGCGGCCCTCCAGCTGGGGCACCCCTCCGGCCCCTCACGTCCGCCGCGCACAGCCGGCTCCCGCTACCAGGTACGGGGGCGCCTTCTCACGCGTGGGGCGCGGGGCTGGGCCTTTGCCGAGCCGGAGCCGGCGAAGGGGCCGTGCGGGCTGCGGGAAGGGGGCGCCTCGCGTGTCCCCGCCGCACTCACCACCACTGCATCGCTGTCGGCCACCGACCCCGCCATCTTCTCGCGCAGCGCGGCGGGGTGCGCGGCTGGCGGCCGGGCGGTGGGGGACGTGGGACACGGCGCGCGGGCTGGGCTTCAGAGGCGGTCCTGCGCCGGGCGGGGGCGCGGGTCCGAGACTGGCTCGTGCGCGCACACACACACGGGCGCGCGGGCGTGCACTCCCGGGGGCCCGGCGCCGACCCGGCTGGCGGGGCCGGGGGGAGGGGGAGGAGAAGGCGGAGGCCGGGAAGGCGGCGCGGGCCCAGAGGTCGGAGGTGGCCGCCGCAGCCCGGACCGCGCTGACGAGTCGAGGCTGCTTTCTTCCTCGGGGTGCTGCTGCCCGAGGAAAAAGGAGTCGAGGGTGCGCCGTGCTGGCCCTGGGCTGCATTTAAAGGCCGCCGGAGCCCGGCTGGTGAACCGGGAACAGGGCGGGGAGCCGGCTGGGCTGCAGCGGCTTGCTCAGCTTGCCCTGCCCCTCGGCCATTGGACGGTGGCAGGAGGCTGGGGCGGGAGGGACTGGCCTACCAGGGTCGGGGCGTGCGGGAGGGCGGGCGCCCGGTCGACACTCTTCGGCGGCAGGGTGGGTGGGGCTGGGGCCTGCCAGGTGACAGGTGCTGGTGACATCACCGCTCCTCCTCTCCAGCCACCTCCCCGCCTTCCTTCTCAGGTTGTGTCTTGGGGCAGGTGGGACAGTGGAGGGCGAGGTCAAGGGAGAATTGGAGGTGGAGGTGATATTCCAGAGTTCGAGATTTCTTTCAGAGAATGCCAACAAAGAGCGAGGAAAGATTCATTCGGCTTTCTAGGGTAGAAAGATAATGAAAGGCTTGCATAAATAAATATTTGACCTAAAAGCAGGAGGCAGAGAGGACTCACAGTAGGGACTTTTATATTTATACAGGAGATGTACAGAACACACCTCCCTCCCCTGTGGAAAGATGGGCAAGTCTGGGGGTCCCTGGAGGCTCTCTCAGGCAGGGGTCTGGTTAAGTCTTACCAAATTGAACTGGGCACAGTGACTGCTCTCAGAAAGTCTTCATTGGGCCGATTTTTACAAGTCACCTTTCCAGTCTAGGCTAGTGAATTTCACACTGAAAATCTCCTGATATCCTTTGTGGAGTAATTCCTAGGGGGTCCACCTCTCTTTATTCCAAGGCACAAATTCCTTTATGGCGTTTCCACAGTAGGACGATTATGTAACTTCTCAGGTAAAGCTGTATCAACATAGCCTCTATTAGGTGACATCTTGGCTTAAACATTCCATTGTGTGAATCACCCTGGTGTTTTATACTAATAAGCAGGGAGCATGTGTGACCTGCTGCAATCCCAGAGGGGCCCTCAGAGGCTCCCTTCCTGCCACTGTTGCTGGCTGTGTGGCCTGGAACATCACTGAGGCTTTTGTGTCTTAGCTTTCCCTTTATGGACCAGAGCTAATCATGGTAATCTCAGTTGAGTAGGGAGAATTACCTGCACACGCTTGTAAACCAAAGTCATATCCTTTGTGTGCTCTGAATTTGAGTGCAGCACAAGTGGCTCACACTTTTGCTCTTGTTTACCAGTCTTAGCTCAAAATCATACCTTATTGATTATTTTAAAATGTTAGGCAGTCATAGGAAGCAACTGACATTTTGAAAGCACACTTTGATATATCTCAATTTCTGAGAGTTTGGTATAGGGGACACTCATTGAAGTATTTTTTTGTCATTAGCTAAGCTAAGAGTGACAGAATACATCATGGTGGTTAAAGAACGTGTGCCCTAGGTTCAAATCCTGGCTCTACAATTGACTAGCTGGGTGATCTTGGACATGTTACTAAACTTCTCTGTGCCTCAGTTTCTTCATCTGTGAACCAGAGATGACAGCAATGATGACAATAGTGCCTATCTTGTGTTATTGGGAAGATGAGGTAAATTGGTTCCTGTACCTTCCTTAGAATAGTAGCTGGCACTTAGTAAGCGCTACTCTTCATATGTACAAACATCTTGAGGGCTTGCCATGTACCAGGCACTGGGGAATACAGGGGGGACATTTTTTTGTGCTTCTACTTTATTATTATTTTAAAATTGTTTTTTAAATTGAAATATAGTTGATGTACAATGTTGTATTAGAGTCAGGTGTACAGCAAAGTGAGTCAGCTGTTCTTTTTCAGATTCTTTTCCATTTTAGGTTATTACAAGTTATTGAATATAGTTCCCTGTGCTATACAGTAGGACCTTGTTGTTTATCTATTTTAGATATATTAGTGTGTATCTGTTACTCCCAAACTCCTAATTTATTCCTCCCTACCCCTTTCCCCTTTGGTATCCATAAATTTGTTTTCTATGTCTGTGGGTCTGTTTCTGTTTTATAAATAAAGTCATTTGTATCTTTTTCTTAGATTCCACATATAAGTGATACCATATGATATTTGTCTTTCTCTGTCTGACTTACTTCACTTAGTATGATAATCTCTGGGTCCATCCATGTTACTGCAAATGGCATTATTTCATTCTTTTTTATGGCCGAGTAATATTCCATTGTATATACATAACACATCTTCTTGATTCATTTATCTGTTGATGGACATTTAGGTTGCTTCCATGTCTTGGCTATTGTAAATAGTGCTGCTATGAACATTGGGGTGCATATATCTTTTCAAATTAGAGTTTTTATCTTTTCCAGATATATGCCCAGGAGTGGGATTGCTGGATCATATCGTAACTCTATTTTTAGTTCTTTAAGGAACCTCAGTGGGGATTTTTTTTGTTGATCTTACATTCTAATGGCGAAAGGCAGTTAGTAAACAAATAAATATATAATATGTCAGGTGGTAAAAGTATTAGAAAAAAATAGTAAAGCAAGTAAGGTGAAAGAGAGAGGTAGGAGGTGGGGTGATGCTCTTTACAGTGTTATCAGGGAAGCCACCTATGGTAGAGTGAGTTTGAGGACCTCTAATGGGAGGGAGGGAGTGGGGGAGGCATTTGGAAGTCTGGAAGAAGAGGTTGCTGGCAGAGGGAACTGCAAGGGCAAAGTCCCCAGGGTGGAGTAAGGGAAGAAAGTGTTGGGTGCAGCTGGGGTGCAGAGGCGGAAGAGGTAAGTAATTAGAAATGGAATAGGGCATGTAGACACTGCGAAGATTGGCTTTTCCTTGGGAGAGGTGGGAAGATATTGGAAGTTTCTGAGCAAAGGAGTGACATAGCTTGCCTTCTGTTGTGGATGTATCCCTCTGGCTGCTGTGTGAAGTGGTCTCTGTGAGGAGGGCAGTGTGTAGGAGGCAGGTAGAAGCAGGACTTAGGAAGCTCCTGCAGCAATCCAAGCAAAATATAATGGTGGCTTAGACAACGGTGGGAATGATGAAGATAAGAGAAGCTGTGCGCCCTTGAAAAGTCCTAGCCATTGTCATTACATAGCTCTGAGAGTTCAAATTGACTTCTAAGCCTCAGTTTCCTCACCACAAAATTAAGAGGTTGGGCTCATTCATCATTCCTTCTTAGCTCTTAGAAAGTTCTTCTGGGGCTTCCCTGGTGGCGCAGTGGTTGAGAGTCCGCCTGCCGATGCAGGGGACACGGGTTCGTGCCCCGGTCTGGGAAGATCCCACATGCCACGGAGCCACTGGGCCCGTGAGCCATGGCCACTGAGCCTGCGCGTTCGGAGCCTGTGCTCCGCAACGGGAGAGGCCACAACAGTGAGAAGCCCGTGTACCGCAAAAAAGCTGTGTAAATGCCATCTAAATTTAAATGGTAGGTGCTGCTGAATGAAAATAATCTTGGGTTGAATCTTTCAATAAGTGGTTTTGTAGGGTGAAGAATAACCCTTTGATTTACATTGTCAGTGGAGTTGAAGATACTTGGATTGCTTGAGATGTTCTTTACATTCCTAAAATTCTTACATTTTAGGAATGTAAAGAACAGGAAGGTACTGAACCTGCCCAGAACATTTTAAACTGGAAAATTGCCTTTTATTCCAAAAATGCTTTGTTCCTTCTCAGTCATTCTATAGAATAGTTCATTTTCAATATGGAGAGCAGGGAGAAAGCCTAAATGAATTTTTTGTTATAATTAAAGCTGAGCAGAGTCAGACTACCCCTGACAGGGAAATTCATTAGCAAATAAATGAATTATAGAGCTTGAATTTTTAAAAAGTTGTAGAGAGAAGGACAGGCAAACTTTGCTCTGGGCTTTGATTATGGGCATTTTTGTCTAAAAAACATTAACCAAGATTGTGACCCTTTTATGAAATGCAACAGTGAACTGTATTACTGCTAGAAACTACTAAAAAGGCTAAAGAAAGTCAGCATCGAAAAAGAAATATACACAGGTCTTTGAAGATAGACTTTGCTAAATGATCTTCCCAGATGAAAATAGTAGATCACGTCCTTCTCTCCTTCCCATTTAATATGTTTTATTCAAATGTAGGCATGCAGAATTTCTAATACTGTGGGGAGAATATGGCATTGACGTCAATTCGGCAGCCATGTTATGAGCATTGTGCTGTGATACCCTGGACCAAGAAGAGATATATGAAAATGCATGGGTCTTGTCCTGAGGAAGGTCACAACTCACTCTGGGGAGCAATGTAGAATGCAGTGGGTAAGATAATAAAGGCCTCAGATCTACAACCTGAGCACTGAGCGGGGAGAGTCACTCCCATTGGGAGGATTAAGGCAGCTGTCTGGAGGAACTGGCATATCTCTGACCACAAGCACGGCAGCCCCTTCCACCATCCCACCAAAGCAAGTCTGCAAAGACTGCACAGCAGCTCTATTCGTGGCCCGAATTCTAAACGCACTCCGCCTGGTCTGGTCACCAGCTGAACCCCTGTTTCCAGAGGCTGGTTTTGTCTCCTGCCCTGGTCCGGGTAGATATGTGCCTTCTTCCTTTACACTGTGACTGTGGGCCCGGATCCCTGAGGCCTGCCTTTGACTTTCAGACCACTTGTTTTCTGCGTATATATACACATTGGCAGCAGCAGGGTTTCTCGTCCTCAGTGCTATTGATATTTTAGGCTGAGAAATTCTTTGTGGTAGGGAGCTGTCCTGTGCATTGTAGGATGTTGAGCACTAGATGCCAGTAGCTGCTCCCCGGAAATGGTGACAGCCAAAAATTCCTCAGACATTGACAAGTGTCAAATGTCCCTGACTGGGGTGGGGAAAACTTGCCCCCAGTGGAGAACCAGTTATCTAAAAGGTGCTTTAAGATTCCTGTTACTCATATATATGATATGAAATCCATCTGATCTAATCTGGAGTAGAAACTTGCACATCAGAAACATTTGCCTTTTTATTTGGCAAGTCATTGCTTCCTGATATTATGGGAGCACTTTACAAATGGTTCCACAGAGAACCCCCTACAACGAAGGAGGACCTGTGAGGACCCCTGTGGATGTAGCTGGCAGCTCAAAATGTCTGTAATATTGAGAAATTTGTGTGACTTTTGCACTCTGTTCAACAGTATCGCCATGTTTATTTTTGATATAAACATAATGTGCTCCCCACACCCATAAATACAGCAAAATTAAAGCATCTAAATGTTTACCCTGTTCATCTTGTGGCTTGATTCCCTCCCTGCCCCACACCCCAGAAGGTGGCTGCAGCCCACTTTGAGGAAAAAGATAATGCACCATTTCACAGGCTGGTCAGGCTTTCATCTCTTCATAATTGTTTTCATCAGGCCAGTCTCTGCTCAGGATAAATATTCACGTAGGCAGAAAATATACAAACTCAGCATTCTTTGGTTACCTCGTTAGGTAGGAGGGCAAATAGTTATCAAGCTATTTTTCTGTATTTCAGTACATGATTAAAGTTCTTAATTATTCTAGGAACTATGGTCACGGTTATCAAATATTATTTTAGACACACACACAAATTTGTGTTGTACCAGTGTAATTAGGGGACAACCATAAAACTTGGCAGTCAATGCCAGTAGCTAACATTTCATTATTTTCAGTTTATTTATGAGGAAGCTGGAACCAGACTCCTGCTTGCGTTTTAATTACTTAGCGCAGGAAGGACTGATTGCAGAAAACCTCCAGACTGAAAAGGGTACTAATGAGCCCATTTCCCAGGAGGAGTTCAGGGTTTCAAAGGTATGCACTGCTTCCTACCCTGGGGATGTCACTGTGGGCCCTTTATCATGTCTGAGATGTCGCAGGAGCGCACCCCGAGCTGGCTCACTCCTGTGGAAGGTAGCAAGAGCCCTCGCCCAGAAAGAAGCACAAAAGAATGCTGCTTCCAGTCTTTGGAACTGGCAGCATGAATGAAAGATATTTTAAGATACAGGGCTTTGTGCTGGGACTGAGAGCCAAGGATGTGCTTCTGTGCCTCCTCTCCAGCCTTACCTTTCAGCAATTCCAAGAGGCAGATCTGTGCTCAGCCAGCCTTGTACCAGTAAGGAATGGGACAGGCCTACGTGGCGGAGCCCCGGGCCTCATTTCACTCTTCTCATTATGCTTGATGTTTCTGTTTTCATCTGCTGGTTTATAGTCCTCCTTTTTATTGCCTCTGTGATTTTACTTTCTTGGTGTCCAGTGGCGTAATGGATTTCTTAGTTTGGTAGTTTCGTGGAAACTCGTGTGGCTTGGCTGCGTGGAAGGAGACGAAGATTCAGAATTAACAGTCTGCTGGAAATCCTGACTAATGGGCAGGAAAACTCAGGAGTCAGGCTGCCAGGTGGTCATTTGATTTTTAGAGGAAATGTGTTTGAGTGACACAGATTTCTAGATTTCTTAAAAGGTGAACCACACAGAGAAGGGATTAACACAGACAGCTTCTGAACAAACCACCATCCAGGAGGGACCTGGGAATTTACACTTGGCATCCAAATTTGACTAACCAAAGAGATTCAGAGAAAACAGACTTCATTTATTTATTCAACAATTCTTTATTGAGCTGGGCTCCATTTTAGTTGTGATTATGATCTTTTTTACTTTCTTAAAAGAGGCCCAAACAACCATATACATATTTGGACTTAAAATACTTGCCCTCCTTTTCCATATGAGTTTCTTCGGGGCATCTCTACTTCCTCATATTGTAGATTCCTCCCTGCACACTGCCTGTTCCATCTGACAATATTCAGAATGGGTCTAAGAGCTCCGCTGCCAACGTGGCAGCATAGCCTCAAAAATAAATATAAAGTGTTTTGAATTCAGAGGCTGGTTTAATTCCACCTCCAAATGATTAATTTATTCCATAGAGAAAGATTAATTAAAGAGTTGAAGAAAAAAAAAGAGTTGAAGAAAATATTTTAAATTGCAGAAGTTCAAATTGGTAATCTACACTGATTAAACTCATCACATTTCATTCATTCACAACCTTGGCCTTGGTTGGCTCAGTGTTACTCTTAAACTTAAGAATTAATCGGAACTCTATAAATTCAGGGGGCTTTGGGGTTAGGCATGATTTTTCAAGATTGCCTGGTGTGTGTTTGTGTATGTGTATGTGTGTGTGTGTGTGTGTAAGGCCAGTTGGAGTGGGGAAGGAGGGAAAATTCCACCTTTTCTTAAAAGCCAATCCTCATTTTAATACCAGGAATAGATAAAAGTAACTTCGGGGGCTTCCCTGGTGGCGCAGTGGTTGGGAGTCCGCCTGCTGATGCAGGCGACATGGGTTCGTGCCCCGGTCCGGGAAGATCCCACATTACGCGGAGTGGCTGGGCCCGTGAGCCATGGCCGCTGAGCCTGCGCGTCCGGAGCCTGTGCTCCGCAACGGGAGAGGCCACAACAGCGAGAGGCCCGCGTACCGCAAAAAAAAGAAGAAAAAAAAAAGTAACTTCGGGAGAGGAAGCAAAGTCGTTGTCTGTGCTTGTTTTTGATTCCATTGATTTTAATGCCAGCAAAAACTCCATCAAGAGAAGAACCTCATACTTTTTTTTAGATGAGTGAGGCAGAGATACAAGTATTAAATTTTTATTCTTTGACACTTTCTCTACTAACAGGGGTTCTCCTTGACACTGGTCTGGAATCTTCCCTCACACGACTCGATTCCCGGCCAGTTATGCCCACTTTAGACATCAGCCTTATGGGCACTTTCCCCAGTAATGCCAGCTTCTCCCCTCGATAGGCTCCCCCACTTCATTGCCAGCCCAGACTCCTCCCCACTCCTTCCATTCGCTCTGGGCTCTCCTCTTGGGCAGGCTCCTCTTCCACAGCATGTCTTCAGTGAGTAGACTCTCACGAGCCTGAAAGAGAAAATTTAAAACAGATAAACAGATTGCTTTTACAAATGGTCCTTCTCTGGAAGGCAGGAGTTGCTGTTTTTCAGGAGGCCAGTATGCATCGTTTTCTCTCTTAGTCACTGTTGACAGACTGGTGCCATAGCCAGGACAGGCCAGAAAATGTGTCATTCATTTCAAGCCAAAGTGATACAGCTAACAGTTATTCTAGAGAAGCTACAACTAACGGTTGGCTTTAGATGATTTATACAGATTATCCAATGTCAGGTGATATTCTATAATTAGAAATAAGAAGGGATGAGCTTAGTGAGAAGAGAGGATGGGTGGAATTTCTAAGTATGTGAAGGATGGGTGTTTCTTTAGGTCTAGTGGATGGTTTTAATCTACAATGTCGTTTATTCTCAGTGCCCTGATAGCAGCTTATAAAACAGCCACAGTTCACCCAAAAGCCCTTAGAAATTACTACACAGTGCTAAAATAAGGCATCGCCCAGGAATCTGAGAGTACCCACATCTTTTGTAAACTGTAATTCAACTCCCTTCTTCAATGTTGAGTTCATGTTAAGGCAGCATGGTCTCTTAAAAACATAAATCATGTACCATCAACCCTTCTTAAAATCACCTGGTGAGGGCTTCCCTGGTGGCCCAGTGGTTGAGAGTCCGCCTGCCGATGCAGGGGACACGGGTTCGTGCTCCGGTCCGGGAAGATCCCACATGCAGCGGAGCGGCTGGGCCCATGAGCCATGGCCGCTGAGCCTGCGCGTCCGGAGCCTGTGCTCCGCAACGGGAGAGGCCGCAACAGTGAGAGGCCTGCGTACCGCACAAAAAAAAAAGGAAAAAAAAAAAATCACCTGGTGGGTTCTCATGGTATTTAGGATGAAACCCTAATTCCTTTCCATGGCTTTTAAGGCCCTGTGGGGTCTCGCCCTCTTTCTCCACCTTCTCTTGGAGGCCGTACTCCTCTCCCTTGCTCACTCTCTTAAGCCAAAACTGGCCTCCGTGGGGTTTTCCCAACAGCCGAGCACACTCATTCCTCAGGGTCTTTTCACTTGCTGGTCCTCCTGCCTGGAGCGTGCTTCCCCAGGCACTTTTTTGGTTTCTTATTCTTAAATTCTTCACTCAAATGTCACCTTCTGTGAGAGACCTTCCCTCATATACGCCCCTGCCAGGGTTCTTTTAGCGCATCCTCATCTTCTCCACTTCTTACCTCAGTCTTTAATTGTCTTGTTTATTACCTGGTGTGATCTTTCCATATCAGAGGGTAAGAGCCTTGAGAGCAGACTCTTGTCTTTCTAATTCATGAAGTGAAGTGAAATTGGGAGCAAAGATTTATTGACTGAATGAATGAATTAATGAATAATGCACAGCCACACATCTGCAGATGAAATAAAACCTCAGAGCTGTTGAGGACTCCAGGGTCCCAAGGCCAGAGTCCACTCATTTCCCTGTTACACAGCCTGAGAACAATCCTCTTTGGGTTGACATATAAAGACTCTGCCCTGAGATGTCCTTTCCACCACTGAGAAGTCTTGATTCTAGATGCCATATGGGTTACATATAAATTCGTCCTAGACATTAGGCAAGGTTGTTGAACCTAAAGTTTAAATGTTACTTATAAGCAATGAAAAGTGGAATTGGTAAGATCAAGTACAGGAAAGATAATAGTGAAAAAAAAAATCCCAAAGCACAAGCATAGCAATGTCAATAGCTTTATTAGCAGTATTATTGTTTCCTCATCCTGATTAGATAGACACTTAGGCTCTTTAAAGTAACCTGATATTGAACATTAACTATAGCTTCTTCTCTAAGAGGGGTGAGCAATGAAGGTGCTGCCTTTCCCGATTACTTATTTAATTTTATTTAACAAGCACTTGTAGAATGTTCATCAAGCTCCAGGTACCTTTCTAAATACTTGACAAATGCTGTCTCGGGTTGAGTTCATTGGAAGCTATAGGGGAGACAGAGTTTGGGGTGTAAGGTGCTTATTAGGGATTAACACCTTTGAAGAGGAGGCAGAGAAAGCAAGAGGTCAAACTGCACTACAGGCTCAGGGAGTCTGGGAACCAGGCAGGGACTTGAGGCATGTGCTGCCTGTCAGAGTGTCCCGCATGGGACTGGAATGGCCTGCCTTTCTACCCCCACCTCTTTCAGGCACCAAATGTGGGCTCCCCCAGGAAGGGCATGGCCTTGGGCAAGGCTGCTGTGTAGCGGAGGCACACTGGAGTTGCTGAGAGCTGGAGTTTGTCTGCTTCCCATCCTCCCTGCTTCTGGGCAGCAAGTTCTCCCTTGAAGTGCACCTCTGGGTCTGCTCAAATATTAACTCATTTAACCCTCGTGATAACCCTAAGAGGTAGGCCCTTTTAT